TCAGAATCTAACTTCAGAAGGAAATGTGATTCTTATGCATTTGAGGGTCTTGCTGTCTCCTTAAGTCATCACCACTGCTCCAGAGGAGAAGGGCCAGCACTGAGTTTGCTAAGGGGAAATGCAAATGGGGTGGTTCTTTCTTTCCTAAGGAATGGGATCATTTTATTCAGACTGTCCATCTTGCCTGTGAGTATGTCTGTTAGCACAGCAGGAAGTCTGGACAGCTGGAAAATGATTAAAGTGTGGGACTGTATGGGACTTGTGGACTCCTCCTGTGGCTCAGTTCAGCAGCCTGCTCCCTTCCCCAGTTACTATTTCTTGCAGAGAAAAGTCACACATAGGCAAATGTGAAATTCACACTATGCTCAGACACCTCCCTGATACAGAAATTGCCCTGAAACAAATTCAGGTTTTCTTATAAGAAAAGTGACTGTACAACAGGACAATAATGCTGAAACATGTGTAATCATCTGGAATCCCAGCATTCTAGAGGTAGAATTCTGAGGGGCTCCTGAGTCACAGAGCGTTCTTCAAGTAGAAAGGTCAAAGGTTTTGGCATATGGGCCAGGGGCTTAATGAGAGAATGTTTAGCTAGTATGTAGACAATCAACCCACCACAAAATTCTTTTATTTAACTGTTTCACATGGTGCGGTAGTTTGAATATGCTTGGTCCATGGGAACTGGCATTATTGGGAGGTATAACCTTGCTGGAGAATAGGTGTGGCCTTCTTGTAGGAAGTGTGTTACTGTAGGTATAGGTTTTGAGGTCCTATGCTCAGGCTTGACCCAATGCAGGAGAGAGACTCCTCCTGATTACCTGCAGAAGATAGTCTCCTTCAACCATCTTTCAGGAAAGAACTCTCAACTCATTTTCCAGCATCATGTCAGCCTGGACACTGTTATTCATTCTTGACATGAGGATAATGGACTGAACCTCTGAACCTGTAAGCCAGCCCCCAATTAAATGTTTGCCTTTATAAGAGTTGTCTTGATCATGGTGTCTCTTCAGCAATAAAACCCTAACTAAGACAGAAGTTGGTACCAGGAACAGGGGTAATGCTGTGATAGGCCTGACCATGTTTTTGTTTGGAGGAATGTAGATTTGGGAACTGTGGAGAGCAGCAGAATGCTTTAAGTGGGGCTTAATGGACCATACTAGTAAAAACATGGAAGATAGCAGTACTGAGGGTAATTTGAACTGTGGGTGCCTGGCTTAACAGGTTTCAGAGGAGTAGAATGGTAGTATGTGGCCTAGAAGACTGCTCTTGTAATATTTTAGTGAAGAAAGTGGCTGTTTTTTGCCTTTGTCTGAAGAGTCTATCTGAGACTAAAGTAAAGAGATTCAGATTAATAGCATTGACAAAGGAAGTCTCAAAAAACAAACAAAAACACACACACACACAAAACCAGCATATGCTTTGTCCTCTGGTTTACTCTCAAGAAGAGTGTTCTGATCAAGCATAACAAGCTTAGAAAGGAAAAATACAAAATGTATGGTTCAAAGAATAAAGGGGCACCAGAAAGTAGGATGAAGCTAAATCCTGTATTCAAGAATATTAAATGGAATTAAGGGAGTGGTGACTTGGGGCAAGATCCCACCCAGCTAAACTTATATATTTGCAGTTGGACAAGGGAGAGTTATATCATGTCAGGTGTTTTTATGACCTGGTTCTTATTTTCATTTGGACTTTTAATCTGGAATGAACTGCAGTCCAGAAATGGAGGGCACATGTGTGATCCAGAGCTTGGGGCTGGAAGACACATGATTTTCATCTGTATCTTGAGGCATAGTAGCCATGAGAAGCTTAGGCCCAGAGATGGTGGTACTCTCCTTTAATCCCAAGAGACAGAGACAAACAGATCTCTGAGTTCAATGCCAGTGTGGTACAGAGCAATTTCCAAGTAAAGAAAGGCTTAGGTCTAGGTATGATGGTACACTCCTTTATAAAGCAAATTCCAGGACAGCCAAGCTTAGACAGTGAAGGAGTTGGAAAACAGAAGGCAATGATATAATAGAACAAGGAAGGGCATGTTCCGGTACCCTCTGTAAGGAGCAGACCTCGGCAGCTTCAGCTATGTGGAGCTGGCTTTAGAGTAAAAAGTAGAAGGGGTTATTCGAATTACTGATACTGGTTAGCTGAGGCTAAGAAATTAGTGGTGATTTTGAAGAGACCTGCATCACTGAGGTGAAATCTTCTAGGATGTGTTTTCTGAGAACACAAAGAAGCTGTGTTCCAGAGATAGACTTACTGTCCCAAACATGGTAACCTGTAAGAATCAGCCAGGTAGTACCAGTTTTGAAGTTCGTAAAGGGGTCATTGGAGAGTAGCTGAAGTTTGGCACTGTGAGAGGCCAAAAAAGGCCATTGGTGAATGTGTTATCTCAGTTGCAGTTGACAGCCCAGGACTGAAGGGGTCATGCAAAGAAGCTGAGGCTTGACATCATGAAGAGAGCCTTTGAGAGGCTACTAGTAACATCTAGTTACAGTGGAAGACTCCAGAGTATTGGAGATGCCAGTACCATGGGATGACCACCATAAATAGCAGCAGCAGTGGGATGGAGTCAACCTGAGCCTACAGAGGGCAGAGCTGGAGACGTAGAGTAGCCTGGAAGATCATGTGTGGATCTCAGACCTTGGAAAAAGAAGCTGTGGAGTTGAAGTTGCCTTGGATACCCCAAGATGTTAGAAATGCCAGAGCCATAAATTGCTGCTGAGGAAAGGTGCTAACAGGGAGTGGAACCAGACCAAGAGAAAGAAATCTGTTGCAGTCAATAAACCTGAAAGGAGTTCTAGATCTGAGGAACACTTTGACATCTGACATGGAGATGCCTAGCTGTTTGGAGTTTGTCAAGCTGATTTTTTGGTCTTGATTTGGTCCAGTATTTTCTCACTATGATGTCTTTGAATGGTAACATATATCCTTTAATGGTGGAAGTATGTGATGTGGTTTTTTTATTTTGATTTCATAGGGAATTACAGTTAATAGATTGCATGAACCTCAGAAGAAACATTTGAACTTCAGACTTTTAAAATTGTTGAGACTGCTATAGACTATGGGGACTTTTGAAGTTAGACTAAATATATTTTGCATTATGTTATGGTGAGGTATGGCCCCCATAGACTCATATGTTTGAACAAGTCTGTGGATATCAGGGAGTGGAATGTGGTGGTTTGAATATGCTTGGCCCATGGGAAGTGGCACTATTAGGAGATGTGGCCTTGTTGGAGGAAGTGTGTCATTGTGGAGGTGGGCTTTGAGGGCTTATGCTCAGGCTCCACCCAATGCAGAAGAGAACCTCCTCCTGGTTGCCTTCGGAAGACATCCTGCTGCTGCTTTTCAACCAAGATGCAAAACTCTCAGCTCCTTCTCCAGCACCATGCCTGCCTGAACATTGCCATCCTTCTGGACATGATGATAATGGACTGAATCTTTGAAACTGTAATCCAGCCCCAACTAAATGTTGTCCTTTATAAGAGTTGCCTTGGTCATGGTGTCTCTTCTTAGCAATAAAACCCTAAGACACATGGTATGTGGATTTTACATTAGCATTCCCTAAAAGCAATGTTACAGAGAATTCTTTGGCTCTTCTAATACAGGGAAAATGAATGATGTTGTTTCTAGACAGATTAGAATTCCTATTATATTTTCATTATCTAAAATTCATCCAGATAGGCCCTTCTCTAAGCCTCTTTCATGTAGGCTATCATCTCATGCTCACATGATGCTTCATAAATCTCATTTTCTGTGTGAGGAAACAGGCAAACAGCTTAGAGAGTGCATGCCTTACTGCCCTGTCCCACTGGCTCTTCTCGGCTTCCATTTGGGTAGTTCAGTCTTGTCATCTTGGACTTGCCCTGCATTCAGACCACGCTGTGCAGCCATGCTCTCTTGTCTACCAGAAACTTCTTTGAATACCTAAAACATTTTCTAGGTCAACATGCTCTGCTCTTTTTGAAAAATAAGCCTACAGAAAGGGTGTCATTATAGAATTTTCTCCCATGAATGTCACTGTACATTGTTCATGTTGCTTTACCTATTCCCCTCTTTTATTCACCCACACACACTGGCCTTCTTCCTCCATAAATAGTCATACATAGATATACACATATGATACATTTCTATTCTATGCATGTATACACATATACATACACATATATATTTCCTTCTTAAATCTACACTTCACATCCCAACGGTAGTGAGATTTGTCCTTATCAGCCTTATTTTCTTTAATATGATTATCTACGGTTCTACCCATTTTCCTACAAATAATAGAATTCATTATTTTTGGTTGAATAAAACTCTTATTGTGTACTGTATGTACACAATTTTTTAAATTTTTTAAATTTTTTAAATTTTTTAATTAAAAAAAATTTTTTTTCATCTAATGTGCTACTCTGTCTTAGTTACTTTTTTATTGCTGTGAAAAGACACCATAACCAAGGCAACATATAGAAGAAAGAGTTTACTGGGGCTTGCTTATAGTTTCAGAGTGTGAGTCCATGATTATCATGGTAGGTGCACAGTAGCAAGCAGACAGGCATGGTGGTGTAGTAGCAGATGAGAATTTATATGTTGAAACAGTAACCATGAGGCAGAGAGAATGGGATTATAAGGACTCACCCCAGTAACATACTTCCTCTGGCAAGACCATATCTTCTAATCCTTCCCTAAACTGTTCCACCAACTAGGGACTAAGCTTTCAAATATATAAGCCTATCCATAGGGCCACGCTCAAACCACTACAACCTCTTTCTCATATGTCAGATATTTATGTTTAGAAAGAAAAATATTACTTTTATTTAATGATTAATTTTGTGTGTCAACTTGAGTGGGTCATGTGGTGCCCAGATAGATATTTAGCTAAGTATGTGTATGTGCAGATGTACATTTTTTTTAATATGCTAAACATTTGAGTCAGTAGTAAAGCAAATTATCCTCACCGATCCACTAAAGATGTCAACAGAACAAAAGACTCAGTAGAGGTTATCTTTGAACAGCCTTCAATTCAGATTCAGAAAGAAGCACATCACTGGATCTTCTGAATTTCCGTATCATCAACTGTAGTTTTGGAATTTGTCAACTTCCAGAATCAAGTAAGTCATTTTATTATTTTTATCTGTCAGCGTGTTTATGAATAGATTTCCTTTTGTCTCTGTACCTCTCAAGAATCTGTAAGAAGAGGCATGGTGCTATAACAATTAACTAAAAATGCAGCAATGCATTTTTGTACTTTGAGTACTGGATTGAGGGTCAAAAAGAACTGAAAAGCATAAGGATTGGTATTGGCTCAGAACCCCAAAACCAACTTCTCAGCACAAAGGAGATTTATTTGCCCCAGAGAAACAAAGGGCAGGGAATAAGGGACAAAGACAGAAGCTAGAGGGAGAAGGGGGAGGGAACAAAGGAGAGGGGGCAGAGCTATTTGTCCAGGAGGAGGACAAAGGACTGCCTCAAGATAGAGAGGAGACAGACATGGCCCATAGACAAATGGTAGTTTATAAAGGGAAAAGAGAAAACCTTGTGTTAGGATGAGGTGTTTAATTTTAATTGGGCATGTTACTTAGGTGAGCCAGGGGATGGGGGTTGCATTTGTGTGCTTTTTTTTAAAAAAATTATCTTTTACTTATTCACTTTACATCTCTGTCACTGCCCCCTACTCCATCAGCCCCCACAATCCCTCCTCTACCCCCCCCCATCAAAGGAGGCTTTTGATTGCTGGACTTCAGGTACCTTGATAGCTAGACAGACCTTGGAAGTCAGCCTTAGGGGGTAGAAGTAGCCAAATAGTGGAATAGCTTTTAGGAATGTAATTTAAAATGATCATTAGCAAGTCACAGAGAATAACAGAGAAAGACAAGGCCTGCCAGAACCATGCCTCCCCCACCCCCAAACCCCCTGCACATACATGCTCAAGCTGACCAGAGTTCCTTCAGACACCATGCCCATGGCAACTCTTATAAAGGAAAACATTTAATTGGAGCCGGCTTACAGTTTCAGAGGCTTAGTACATTATTGTCATGGAGAGAAAGGAGCTGAGATCCACAGGCAGCAGAAGGAGACTGACACTAGGTCTAGTTTGAGCATATATGTGCAGGGGGTTTGGGGGTGACCACAAATCACACCCCTACAATGACACAATACTGCCAGCAAGTCCACACTCACTCCAACAAGGCCATACCTCCTACTAGCGCCACTCTCTTATGGGCCAAGCATTCAGACATATGAATCTATGGGAACCATACCTCTTCAAACCACCATACCCATCTAGTGTCAATTGCAAATAGCTTCTGGTTTGAGGTGAGATGTAGTGGCCACTTCACCTATGGCTTGAACTTATGAAGGTCTTGTGCTTGGTCTAAACTAAGTTGTAAAAAACAGAGACAACTGGAAACATTATTTGATCTTTACAAAATAGTATACTTTTTTATTTTTAATTTTATGTTTTTATTTGATACTTTATTTATTTATATTTCACATGCTATCCCCCTTCCCCATTCCCCCCCACCCATTAATCACCTATGCCATCCCTCCTCCTCCTTTTTTGCTTTTATACTGTTTAAATTACATGCAAATATTAAGGTCAGTTCTAGGTTGAGGAACTAACAATACAATAGATTCAAATACTCCGGGAACAAGGAAGACAATAAACCCAGATAATCAGAGAACATGCACAACAATAAACAGAGTCCTGTGATCACTCCTGTGATCACTATTTCTAAGGGCTTATCAGGATGATGAAAATATCTGAGCCTATTTCCCTGTCCTAGCCCAAAGTCATTTTCATGCCTAAAGCATACTTCTTTGTTCTAGCCTAGAATTTAGATTTCTGCCTGAAATTACTTCTTTGTTCCAGCCCAATGACAGATTCCTGCCTGCAGTCCATTTCCTTGTCCTTGGCCTATGTCAGATTTCTTCCAATCAACCCATTTCCTTGTCCTTGGCCTATGTCAAGTTCCTTCCAAGCAGTTCATTTCCTTGTCCTTGGCCAATGATAGATTCCTTCCAGGCAGCCCCAAAAGCTCTCCACATCTCCCCCTTTTTATTGCATAAACCAGACTGAGCCTGTCTTAAGTCATTCTGACAAGAAAGCCTTCCTTACCCATCATGGAATATGCATTATCACAAGCAATGCATTTCTGTCTCAGGTTGGTAAGGCTCTGTGCAGAATCTTACCTGTCCTTGGCTTGCCAGCCTGTTAAATTAAGAACTCTGTCTGGGGGTCCATTATCAGTTTCAAGTCATGTACTTTGGCTGCCAGCCTGTTGATGTAGTTAGATACAAGCTTTAACATGATGGGCAGAAATAAAAGTATTCCCAGGACAAGAAGGGCTAGCCTGATCAAGCTATATATGCCATTCCTGAGGTTTGACCAAAATGGAAATACCTCAGGCTATATCGACATTATCCACAGCAGCAAAGCTCAACAGAGCAGCATTCTTTAAATCCATAATCTCACTATGCAAAGTTAATGCACCCAGAGTGGTGTTAGGATTATGCCAAATATCCTACAGGTGTCTATAAGCTTTTTTCTAATTATAATGACAATCATTGTAAATTTTATAAGTAACACAACTCTAATGATATTTGTCATGACACTTTAGATGACTTCTAACTCTTGAACCTTGAACCTCCTTCAGATAATTTGAATGGGTTATAGAGCATCATTCATTGTTCCAGATACCTATATAAATCCTTTTGTATATTCAATACATTAGTAAAATTTTTTGCTAGGTGGTTAACAAAAATAGTTGTCTTAACTCCTTGTGTCAATGCTATTGTAGAAGCAGTGGTGCTAGCAATTAATGAAATTAAAGCTGTTATACCAGCAGTAATCAAGCCCACTACCCTCTTGCTTCTGCTTAAAGCCTAACTCACTTCTTCCAGAAATTTCAAGCTTTTTTCAAAGAATCAAGCTTTTCTAATACTCAGGGCAATAAGACAAAAGCTGGTTGATAGACCCCCATAACAAATATGCCAGGTTTCAACACACTAACACAATTGGAAATTATACAGTCAATGCAACTTACAATAAATACTGTAGAAGAGACAGAACCAATTTTAGCTTGAAAATTTAAAAGAACCTTAAAATATGCACTAACTCTTGTTTGAAATCTAGATCCTGTCCCAACTTTATCTCTTGCTATCATAACATCATAGTGAACTACAGCTAACTTCCAAATATGTCCCTGAAAATGTCCAGATCCAGCCTTCCAAATGTAGACTGTTATTTCCATTATTGGATTGATTTCATGATTGAGTCCTAATAGCTGGTCACCTTTAAAAAAAAGTACAAGAGACATTATAATTTGTCTTTTTGATTCCCTATCCCACAAGGTCTAAAAACTTGAGGCAAGGCAGCTTGTCCCATCTGGGATATAGTCAAGCAAAGGTGGGTCAGGAACATATATCCAATACAGCTCCCCAGTCACCCTTGCCAGGGCACTCAGCAAGCTCACAGGTCAGCATCATTCTTTGTCTCAGCAACAGTATGTCTCACCAATCTTTTTAAAGTTCCATGGGCCTCTTCCACAATACCTTGTCCTTGAGGATTATATGAAATCCCTGTAATAAATTGTTGACAAAAAGTCTCGACTACTTGACTACAATTGCCAGATCCATTATCTGTTTTTTTAATTGGATATTTTACTTATTTAGCTTTCAATGTTATCCCCTCTCCCATTTCCCCCCAAAACCCCTTATCCCATCCCCCATCCTCCTACTTCTATGAGGGTGTGCCCCTACCATCCACCCATTCCCGCCTCCCTGCTCTCAAATTCCCCAACACTAGGGAATCCAAACTTTCAGGGACCAAGGCCCTCTTCTTCCACTGATGACAAGGCCATCCTCAACTACCTATACGGGTGGAGCCATGAGTCTCTCCCTTTGTATTCCCCGGCTGGAGAATTATTTTATTTATTTTATTTATTTATTTTATTTATTTTATTCCCCAGAAGATCTGGGGAATTATTTTATCCTGTTCTGTTTCTGCTTTACTTCAAATTATTCCACATTTTAATCCAGTTATAGATATTGACTACTGGCAAACATGAATTTCAAGACACAACCACTACTTATTTTAGGGCAAGGAACTTTCTGGAAAACTAGCCAGCCTATCACTCACCTTCCAGTGTGAAATCCAGTCTATTTTGCCTTCCCTTTTCTTTATTTTAGAAGTCTTGTTTCCATAGTTTGGACAAGATTTTTGTTGTTGTTGGATTTTTGTTGTTGTTGTTGTTTTGTTTTTAAAGAAATTGCTTTGTGTTTGCCTGGTGCTTGGCAAACAAAGCATGCTTACCAGGAGAACAAGCTCTTCCCACACTAATGTATATAAAATGCCAGCATCCTCCTGAAGGGACATCTGTCATTATGCTAGCAAGGCAAGCAGATGGTGAGTACCTGTGAAGGCTGAGTTTATTTTACAAAGTTGTCAATGTTCTCAGGAAGGCTCTTTGCTTGCCACAGTGAGGCAAGCTGCAACTATCGCACTAACATCTGAAGACTCTTCTTGAAAGAAACAGTTGTTGAGTGACTTGGCTTAGGCCTTATAGACTGTGCCTCAGGGATTTTGCTGTCACTTCTGAAGACTCATTCTACCTCTCCACATACTCCAACATTCCCACACAATAGAAAACTGGGGTTCTTTGCTTAATATTGATCTAATTGTTAAGTAAGATAGAAGGATTAGAAAGAACTGATTTAAATGAGTTTTGTTTTTAATATTTGTGTTCTCTGCAGAATGGAAAATAAAAAAGCCAATTTTAGGAAATTAAAACATGTTCTTATAGTGAGGATGTTTTTAGGTTTAATGCCTGAAGAAATCAAATGTGTTTCCCTCTGAATATACTTTGCCCTTGGATATGGTCTAGCAAGAGGTATTTGTGCTACAGTGGCATTGAAGCCATTAAAGACTTTCCTCCTAGTCAAGAGAATGAAATCTCTGACCTGGATGGAGACCTAACATTCCAGATGGGCTCATCAATTATCTTGCCAAGGAACCTCAGGAAGGTGGTAGGTGCCACTCTTAGCAAGGCCAGCTCACCTTAAACCATGCTAAAGAAAAAGGACCAATTACCCCTTTATAGAGATCCTGTAC